CTGTGGGTAGACAGAGACTGTCTATTGCTGTCAGTATCAGTCTGGTATTTTTAATAAGCAATATAGTTTTAATTTTTTTAAAGTTAAGATATTATCACAATCTAGCTTCCTTTCTTAAGAAAGAGCAGCCATTCACAGATTTATTATATATGGTTTTATCTGTAGAAATTCCATCAACAAGAACCTTCTTACCTTGAACAGATCAGCAAAGCCATCCCAATGTCTCAAGATCAGAAGCTCAAAGCTTTTATTGTTTTATTTCCTAGAAAAGTTTTTACCTTTTTAAAAGCTATGGTTAGAATTTCCTGCCTTTCATTGTTTTTAGTAACTGCAGTTTTAAGACTCTGAGGCTAGAACATCACTTAGATGTGCAAAAATATATCCATGCCTGTGCATTCACAGTTATATTTACACTTGCTACAATTCAGTGTGTGAGTCAGATAGACTTTTGTGTATGTAATTAAATGTCTACCCATTTCCACACCCAGTTGTGGTAATTGCCTGCACATATATGGTGTTCTTGTGCAATTTGTACATGTAGACCTCCAGTTCCCTTTGGAGTAATTTTGCTCATCATATATGGGTTTCTGGCTATCGTATGTCAGTTTCAATTGACTACACTGTGAAATGATAGATTGTGTGCAAGGGACCTTTGGAGAGTCCTTAGTTCTGTTGGAGTAAGATTTTGACTTTCCTATTATATTCTTGACCACCTTCTCCTGTTTAACATGAAAAGGTTTCATATACAACAAATGAATTATGAAGTTAAAACCTTGAGCAAAAGTGCTTTTTGCAGTATTTACATAACTCCCTAATTCTTTGAGCCAGGCTTAAAGACTAATATAGTTATCAAATCATGTTTGCTGTCCACAAAGGTAAAAAAACAGCCATTATAACACAGATATAATTAATCATGGCAAATAATTGTGCTAACACATGATTAATTTTGTAGTGAAAACAGACCCTTACTGTATTTGACAACTATAACTTAATTTGGCACTAATGAGACCAGATTTTTGGGGCCTGATCCAAAGCCCATTGAAGATAATCGAAATACTCCCATTGACTTGTATGGGCTATAGATCAGGCTCCACTTCACTTCACTTCTCAACTCCTTTTCCTGTTTACACTAGGTTGGAGTTGCCCACAATTTCTCTTGGAGTTTCAGTCCTTTTCTCTTCAAATATCTCTTGACAGAGTCTTTCTATCTTATTCTTGGCCTTCCACATCCTTTCTTGCTGTTTTCTTCCTCCCATGCTTTCTTTGCTGATTGTTCTTTTCCCATTCTTATCACATGACCACCCCACCTCAGACATGTGCTCTCCAGCCTATTTGTCATTGAGAGTTCCAAGTTCATCTTCCCTCTAATTTCTTCCATACCCTCCGCTTGCCTGCCATTCTCCTCAGTCTATTATTTTCAACTACCTGTATCTTCTTTTCTTCCATCTCCGTAAGATCCTCCGTTTCCAGACCGTAGAGCAGGCAGAGACAAATACACACAGCATACACTTTTCCTTTCAGTTTGGTACTGGTCCCAGAGTACACCTGTCATGTTTTTTACTTCCATCCATTCACATTGGATTCTTCTTTTCAGTTCTCCAGATCTCTTCCTGATGGCATTAAATGTACTTCCCAAGTACACAATTCTTTCTTTTGATTCAACTTGTGTCTGGAAACTTCAATCAGCAACTCTTCTTCCACCTTCCCTACTTGCATAACTTCAGTTTTCTTTGTGTTTACCTTCAAACCATGGTCTTCAAACATGCTCTGATACCATATATATCAATTCTCTTTGCTGTATGTATCATCGGCATACATCAGTTCTCTCTGTGTCTCCACAGGCTTGGTTCTCCTACTAATTAACTCCATAACTAGGATAAAGAGAAGTGGATATAGCACACTGCCTTGTCTCAATACCACTGTCACCTCAGAATTTTCCGAAATTTCCTGTATTGTTAGTACCTTAGTTGTTGACCCTCAATACAGCTTCACTCCACTTCATGACACCTCCCTCCCATCCATTTCAATAGTCCAAACACCAAGCTCCCATGGAACCAAATCATATACTTTCTCAACATCAATATAAGCTATATAGCAGTTACACTCTTTGTTTATCATTCTTTGAAACATCTGTCTCATTGCAAATATTGCATCTGTCATACTTCTTCCCTTCCTAAGGCCATATTGCTCCTCTCCTATATTTTACTCTACCTTGCACCTTAACCTTGCCTCCAGAGCTCTCTCAGTGACTTTCAGAGGCTGACTTAGCAGGGTGATGCCCCAATTGGTGTTTGTATCTCCTTACTCTTGCAAAGAGGCACAATCAATTCCATTCTCAAGTCATGTGGTATCCTAGCTTGATCCCAGCAAACATGTAGTAATCTATGAAGCCACTTTACTCCAATATCTCCAACTGTCTTGATCATATCAATAGTTATCTTCGCCAGTTGCTTTACCATTCTTCATCTTATTCAGTGCTTCTTCTGTCTCTACAAAGATCAATACCTTTTGAGGCTTCCCCATAATTGTCAGGGTTACATACACTAGCAACTCTCTCTTCTCATTTGACAGCCTTTGAAAATATTCTTTCCATACCGCTTTAGGGTTAGTTACCACACTGTTCTCATCCTTTACACATAAAGATTTCTTCATATCTTCATGTTTAATTGTTCCTCTTTTTTGCCAATCCAAAAACCAATGGATCAGGCCCCAAGTGCAATACAATTTGGCTAGCAATACTGTAGCATTTTCATGTTTTCTAGTTAAGAGGATTTAAAACATTCTATAATAATATTTGTTTGACAGACAGATTATATCTTAAATATTATCTTATATTTGTTTCCACAGCTCTTGAATGTTACCCTGATGGACATCAGATCCTTCAGAGTCCTTACCGGAGCGTTGATTTTGATTCATCACAACTACAGCAATCAGCTATTCAAGATCTCATATGTGACCATTCACTAACACCAGGATGGTACCGCTTTCTAATATTTGATAAGCCAGCTGAGATGCCAACCAAGTGTGTGGAGGTATTGGTACACCTGTTTTTGTCTTTGCGACATAACACATGATTTTTCTTAAAATGTTCATAATAGGATAGGTACCTATCAAATGGAAAATAATTAAGAATACTTATTAATAGGACAGAAAGGTGAAGTCATAATCTAGTTGGCTGAAAGCTTGTGCAATGCCAAGCAGGCTAGAGTAGGAGACCCACAACTACAAGGTCATCACATCATTAATGTACCTCTGCCCAAAAACAGAAGAGAAGGGAGAGCAAATTAAATTAATTTTGTAACATTTAACCAGCTGAAATTTACAGCCACTACTAAGTGGACTTTCTTGATGCTAGTCTATTCAGGGATATTAAGGTTTTTAAACACAAATGTAAGGCTAGTGGTTTACTTAAAAATATTCAAAGCAGTATACATGATTTTAGCCTCTTGATTCCCCTGTTAGTGGGCTGATTTTAAAATGTACACTTTAGGAGGAGATATTAGTCATAAAATGTTGATCTAATAAAGCTAACGTAAATGAGAAAGAGCTAAGATTAGTTTGTCTCCGACATCTAAACACATCAGATACAATAGTCATCCTTAACTCTGAATTTCCTAGGTTTGCAATGCTTGGTTTTGAGATGATTACAACATCTCTGTAATGTTTTTATCCTTAAGTTACTGACAGATGCTCTCAACCGTAACTCCATCTTAACAGAGTTTTGTCTTGGAATTTTCATAGTCTTTTTTAATTAAAAATGTCATAGTAAGCAAGAAAAGAGAATGCTACTATGTGATATTTCTTCTAATGATTTGAAAATATGTGGTATCAACTTTAAAACTTCACAGGTACACCAATACAGAATAAAACAGCCATAGCACGCTGGCTGGTTAAAAGGGATTTATAGCTGTTATGTGTCTTAAGAGCAGCACAAAGCAGCTAAAGTGTAGCAGTGATTCTGACTCTTCATTTGCAATTGATTTATTAGTGTAGAGGGCTGTGTTACAGAGACCGATGTTATATGAAAGGAAGGGCAGGGGAAGCTCACTCTCAGAGCCTGATGTCTATGGACTCCTATGCTCATGCCTCAGATCCCCCAGTGCTGCCTTGGTGTAGAGCGGAGCCAGAGCAGCGGAATCATGGGAGGCTTTTCAAACCCTAATCCCCAAGCTAGTATACAGCTATGGTTTAAAACAGTGGGTCAGGATCCCAAAGTGGGTCAGGACCCCATTTAAATGGGGTCACCAGATCTGACATTAGACTTGCTGGGGCCTGGGGCTGAAGCCCAAGCCCAAGCCCCACCTCCCAGGGCCAAAGCCAAAGTCCAAGGGCTTCAGCCCTGGGCGGCGGGGCTCAGCTTATAGGCCTGCCACCTGGGGCTGAAGCCCTTGGGCTTCGACTTTGGCCCCCCTGCCCGGGGCGGTGTGGCTTGGGCTTTGGGTTTGGCTCCCCTGCCCAGGGCAGCGGGGCTTGGTTGGGCTCAGGCTTTGTTCCCCTCTCCAGGGGTCGCATAGTAATTTTTGTTGTTAGAAGGGGATCGCAGTGCAATGAAGTTGGAGAATCACTGACAGAATCTGTAAAGAACAGTGATAGATGAGCCGAGTCATCTACCAATGAGAACTCTTGACATATGTGTCCAGTGTTTCTTACATCACTAACTCATTATAACCAATAGAAATGTTATCTGCAAATTAGCTATGGAGGAGGAGTGGTGATTGTTACCTCTGCTATCACAATGGCCCCGCTTAAGACTTACATGAGCAGTTGACCTTACCCTGTCTGTAGCCCATGTAGTCATAGCAACTATAAACAATGATCACTAAGGATATGTCTACACACAATTAAACACCCACGGCTGGCCCATGTCAGCTGACTTGGGCTCACGGGGCTCAGGCTGTGGGACTGTAAAATTGCAGTGTAGACATTTGGGCTTGTGCTGGAGCCCGAGTTCTGGGACCCCATGACTGGGGAGAGCCCCAAAGCCCAGACTCCAGCCCAAGCCTGAGTGTCTACACTGCAATTTTACAGCCCCACAGCCTGAATCCTGCAAGCCTGAGTCAGCTGACCAGGCCAGCCAGGGATGTTTAACTGCTGTGTACACATACCCCAGGAGCCTAATTTCTTCAAATATAACTTGTGCACAACATTTCAATTAATATTAACTGTGTAAAATGTTTGAAGTTTCTGCACTACTCCATTAACAAGATCATTCAGAACAAAGAAAAGACACAGTAGCTAAATTTCTTAAAGGACACATTTAACATTAGGTTTAACCCGAACTAATCAATTACTTGTAAATTCTCCATACATGTATTCTGTTTTCACAACTATAAGTTTGGGGGAGGATGCACTGTACTTCTCATACATTACAAAGCAGTTGAATCCTTGCTCTAAGTTCAAACTGGAACTCAAGCTTAACTGTGAAGCCATAACCAGCATCTCCATAATAAATGATTTCTAAAAAATAACCTTCGGTATGTTTAAAAGGGTCACTTACCCAGTCTGGCATTAAGATACCTATGCAACAGTTTCTCCTCCCTGGGATCCTTCTGTAGCCAGGTTCTAAGCCTGTTCTCTGGCACCTTCTGCCAAGACTTACCTAGGCTCCTTCTCCACCTCCTCCCCATATCGGGTTGCTGGAACAATTTGTATAGTGGGAGTGCTGAGAGCTATTGAACCAAACTGTAAACCCTGTGCATAATGGAAACCACTTCAAGCCAGGGGGTGCATCAGCACCTCTAGCACCCCTAGTTCCAGCACCTGTGCCTCATAGGGAATCCCCATTGGTTATGGAGGAGCCTCCCCAGCACCTTGCTTTCCTCCTAGCACTCCACATTGGATTCTTTACAACAGGAAGCCATCACTGGTCTTTCTCCAGTTCCTGGAGTGCCTCCCACAACACTGTTGTTCCTGCCAGCTCTCTTTCCACACACAGCACAGGATGTAGCTTATCTCTCAGCAGGCCTAGCTGTCAGTCACATGTTTTCTGGACTGTCACTCCCATGATGTGTGGGGTAAACCAGGCACAGATGAAGTTGGGCCCAAATTCTTCCCAATCCTTTGACAGTACGTTGATTGGACAATTGCACGTCTAACTGCCATAGTTGTGCAAGTGCACATCTAACTGCCATAGTTGTGCAAACAAACAGGTATTCACCCAATTTTTTTGGTATATTTTCAGAGGCCAGTTTGAAAATTTAAACCCAAATATTTAATTTAAAAAGAACCCACACATTTTAAAAACATATACAATCCAATATAGAGAGTGTCAGAGCATAACTGGTAGGTTGAAAAAAACCTGGCTCTTTACCTAAGCAGCACATCATTTATAAACGGTGTTTTCTACACTTACTGCAGAAACACATCTGTGTATATATATTTAATCTCATGGCCAAAATAAAACAACTCAAGTAAAAAAATTGAAGTTTATGTAGAAGATTTCTTTCATTTTCAGTCCCTCTGACTATTAGAAAACTTTTTAATTAAAGCTACAATGAACTCTTTGCCAGAGATTCAAACTCTGCCAAACACTCTGTTCCAGACTTTCTTTAAAGCAAAATCTCATCTCACAGGACTCTGTTCACCTGATAAATTAATGTTGAGCTCATGACCTCCTAGATTCAAGAGAGAAAATTTCCTTCTGAGATCATGATCTTCTGTGATAGGCTTGTGAGTCTGTATAAGAAAAAATTCTTTGTAGGCCATCAGAGTTCACTCTATCAGGAAGTCATCTGAGGTAAAAGGTGATCCCAGATCCTGCTGGAGAAGACCAGACTGAGACTTCTCCAAAGTTCATACAAGCCTCAGAATTTCAGGTTCATGATCTTCATGTGAGTTTTTCCCAAGTGCTAGTTTTAACACCACTGCACCAACTCTTTAGCAGCAAGGTGGTTTTCCATTTTAATTGTAAAATAATGTTCTGGAGAAAGAGAAAGAATAATATACCTATGTCCTCAAGGTGTTTCTTCTCAGATATCTTTCAATAGCACACCATATATACAGAGGGGACCTTTTAACATGAGTGCTTAGTCTGGTAAACTCAGAACCATTACCTTTATTATTATTATTGCTATTATTATTTGTATTGCCATAGCGCCTACGAGCCCTAGTCATAGACCAGGGCCTCTTGTGCTAGGTGCTGTACAACACAGAACAGAAAGTTGGTCCCTGCCCCAAAGAGCTTAGGCTTCTTTCATGCTCCAATTTCTTTTGCTGTAGTGCAGGGCTTCTCTAACTTCATTGCACCCTGACCCCCTTCTGACAACAAAAATAACTACATGACCCCAGGAGGGGGGACCAAAGCTTGAGCCCGCCTGAGTATGACATTAGAATCTAAAGATCCCAAATGAGATTGGAGCCCCTTTGTTCTAGGTACTGTGCAAACATATAATGAGAGATAATCACTGCTCTACTGAGCTTGCAACATAAATAGACATGGTAGGCAAAGTGGTGGAAGAAAAAACAGAGGCACAACGAGGTTAAGTGTCTTGCACAAGATCACACAGCAGATCTGTTGTATTAATTTAGATGGAATATATGGGCGAAAGGTGTTAACATAACCCAGTCACTCTCCAACACTAAACAGTATTAAACAAGGTTTGGCATTTGGCTTACAGAGACCTCTGTCTGCTTATTACCATGCCAAACACATCATTAAAAATCCTTCTAACCTTTTATTAAAGATACAAAACCAAAGGAAAAACAGTTAACAAACTTGAAAGTAAGACTTTATTCTTAACTATAGACTTTGTTCCCCTTCCCTTTATCTGGAGAGTTTTTAGAATGAAACCCCCCTGGTTTGACAGTCTTAGATGGTATCATAGGTGGTAATAATTGTCCTTTTGAGGAAAAGAGAAGAAGTTTGGTTGAGATGGGCCAGAGTTGTTGTTGCTCTTGTTAACGATCCCATTTCTGAAGATGACAAAACAAGATAGATTCAAAAGGGGAAGAGGAAAGAACTGTAAAGATAGAAAAAGCAGCTTCTGTCTCTGATGTTGACTCTCACTTGTTACCTCACTGTTGAAAAAAACATGGGCTCAGTACATGGTCAGATCAGCCACTCCGAGATCTGGCAAACTTGTACCAGTATCAGGCTGTTTAGAGCACTGCTTTTAGCTGCCTTCTTGGTCACAGACTTATGGCAGTGTTGCAGAATATGCAGTCTTGCCCAGCTAAGCCAGACTCTTGTAACACAAAAGGAAAAAGGAGAGAGAGGAAAGAGACAAAATAAGGTAGGGAAGGAAAAGGACACATGGGGGGGGGGGGAGACAAAGTCTCACATCCCAGGCAGTGGTTGGGATTTCTCTGGAGCCAGTGAAGTTGGAGATTTCCTCTGGCTTCCTCTCTCTGGCCTGGTCTTGTCAGGCATTACTCAGGATTAGGGTGAAGAAGATCCGGGATCCCAGGAAGTAGTGGGGCTGGTGAAGCTCTAGTAGCCAGTTTTTCTCTGAAAGTCTCTTTCTTTAAGGACCCCAAAAGAGAGTGATGAGTGGAATAGCCCATCTACTCCTTATTTGTCCAATTAGGCCTAGTTTCAGCCACACCAGTTTTGGTTCACTGATTTCTGGTTCCCCACTTCTCTTGTTTACCACAATCCCTGAGTTATATCAGTAGGCCTTTCTGTCTTGCTTTTGCACCTTTTCCCATCAATATTTGTTGTTCTAGGTTAATACAACATCTTATTAACTTACACTCACTTTTTGCAGTTGAACTCACAATTAGAATAAATTGGTATGCCCAGTTATCACAATAGGTCAATGGCAGAGCTGACCTTTAAAATTCTTCAAAAAAATTCTTCAAAATTCTTTCTTCTTCCAACTAGCACATCCTCTGTTTGATAGCCAGTTTTAGCATGTACCAACCCCTTGTATATGGGTCCCTATATCATTCAGACATTTGCACATCACAGGAATTACGTCACCTGCTTTTGGTGAGCAGATGTAGAGCACAGGGGTTCTTCTTCATGTGTGTGGTATGGCAGCCCACACCATCTCACAATCTGCCCTTGGCAGCCTTATATGTATATTAAGCAGGAGGACTGATAAGAGTGAAACTTGTGCGGACCCACAGGTGAGAAAAGCAATTTATGCCCAGTAGAATCGTTAGTTAGATGAAATATAGCAGAGCTTAAAATGTATATATAGGCTTTTCTATGGCGCTCATCACTGTAGTATCGGAGTGCCTCTTAACATTAATGAATTTGTCCTAACAAGAGTGCTGTGAGGTAGGGAAGCACTATTATCCCCATTCTAAAGATGGGGAACTGAGGGACAGAGTGATTAAGTGACTTGCCTAATAGTTTGTGTATATTGTCATAGGCGGTGAGTTATATGGGCCCGTGGTGCCCATGCTCCACCAATATTTAGGAACGTGGGCCCGTCTCCACCACTGTTTGGGCTTACCACGCTTTTGGGGGGCTTCAGGGGGATGCAGGGTCCAGGGCAGCCTGGTGGGATTGGGGGGGCGGGGCTGGTGGGATTGGGGGAGGCCTGGTGCTGGCAGCACCGAGCACCCCAGCCCCTGCCCTCCCCGCCCCGCCCCGCCGGGTCCCAGCATTGCTCTGGGGAGGGGGCAGAAGCCGGAAAGAGGTGGGGCAAGGGCTTGTGGGAAGAGGAAGGGAGGCAGGGAGGGGGCAGAGCAGGGGTGGGGTGGGACCGGATTGCTCGCTGCTGCCGGCGCCAGGCCCCCCGCTAACCTCCTGCAGGCTGCCCTGTACCCCCATGTCCCCCTGAAGCGCGGGGGCCCCCAAAGCACAGGGCCTGGGGCGGTTGCCCCAGTCTGTCCTATGGACGGGATGGCTCTGCTTGGACTCCACGTCCCCCTCAAGCGCGGGATCTGGGGCAGTTGCCCCGGTCCGTCCTATGGACGGGACAGCTCTGCTTGGACCCGTTCTGGGCACCACCAAAAATTATACAAACCTGGTGCCCATGTATATTGTGTATTTGCATTCAACTATGTAAAAACACATCACACATTTTCCATGTGGAGATGAATTCCCCATTTACTAAAAGCTGTTGCAGTAAAATAATTGAAAGCATATATATCTTGCATTAAACACTAGAGCAGCTTGGTACTGTATTAACTATTTTAAACTGCTTTTCTTTGGTGCTAAAGATGAATCACTGTGGAACTCAAGCCCCTGTCTGGTTATCTCTAACGGAGTCAGAATCCATGCCTCCACCTGGTGAGATCAAACAATTAACTGCTTGTGCAACATGGCAGTTTTTCTTCAGCACTACAAAAGACTGCTGCCTTTTCCGAATCCCTGTCAGTGTGAGGAACTGTGGAGAATTCTTTGTTTATTTGCTACAGCCCACCCAAGGATGCATGGGGTATTGTGCAGAAGGTGAGGAAGCACATCCTATTATTCGACAAAATCTGTGTGTGTGCTAGTAAATATCTCTTAATCATTTTTTTGATTTAGCATTCATTATTTTAATGTGTTTTTCCTTGTTTGATTTGGCATTGAATGTAAACATTTGAAAATGAAAACATGCATTTTAAATTTTCCTGTAGCCTTTATTTGTAATATTGATAGTGTAGATCAATAATTTGTTGAGATATCATGGTGAGATAAAATTATATGTATGAATATATTTTGTTGAGTTATTGGGTATTTAAAAATACAAGAAATTCAACTTCGCATATATCAGTTATTAGTGGTTTGATCCACTAATAAAATACCTTATTTGTCTTGCTATAACTATATTTTTCTTTCTGAAGAGAATGCGCATTTTATAAAAAAAAATTAAAGTTGGAAATACCAACAAATAACAAATGTATTTGTATAAATGGGGCGTAAAAGAACTGGAAAAGTATCTTTGTAGAGTTCCTGTAAAGACCACCTGTTTGTTCCCAAAGGAATTGCAACTAGTGCCAAATTATCAAGTGTCTGCTAGTATCCTTATTCTGCAATTAGATTTTCTAGCACAGATCCCTATGCTAGTACAGAACCCCATCACATGGGCTACTGGGTCCTGATTCAGGAAAGCACTTAAGCATGTGCTTAAATTGGGGCCTAGATTTGTACTATAAATTTTATACAGTCTTTTTGCAAATGCAAATTTAAAGGCTGGGTTAAGGCCACTTTGAAAATTTGGTCTTTAACGTCATGTTCACAAAAACTCTGATTCAAGTGATTTTGGATAACTAGGGAAAAAGCTGACCATATCAAAGTCTTAGAATTAGGAATTTGTGCAAATGTACTGCATTAGTAGCAAATCAGAGTAGTCTAATCTATCATGTTTGAAAATGTACAGATATTTTACCATGTAGCAATAGTTCTCAACCTGTTAATCACTGTGGGGCGCAGATTGAGAACCACAGCCCCCCCACCCTAAAACTGCCCACCATCCCCTATGCCCAGAGCCCGTACCCAGAGCTGGGCCAAGAGTAGAGCCCTAGGTACAGGCCGGGCAGCCGGACCCCAAATCGCGCTGCGTGGTGCCAGCAGGAGCTGGGACCGAACTCCGCGGTGTGGGGCTGGTAGCGCCCGGGATCCCCAGCACCGGGCCAGATACAGTGTGTCCAGTGGGGCCGGCAGCCAGCACACGAGAAGCAGGGCCAGGAGCAGAGCCTCAGCCAAAACCTGGGGCAAACGCCTAGTTCCCAGAGGCACCCCCCCCCAAAACCTACCCACAGACTCACTCTCCAGCCCCCTGCCCCACTGCGGCACTCACCAGCCTCCTGCTGGCAGGAGCGCTAGGTGCAGGCTGCAAGATGCTGTCTCCTCCTCAGCCCGCTCCAGCCCCTGCCAGACCAGAGCAGCAAATTCTGAATTTTTTTTTGCACACAGCTGGGCTGCAGCTGTATGCTAATTGGGCCGCATGCGGTCCGCGGGTCGCAGGTTGATAACCGCTTCCTTATATATTATTTAAATTAATACAGATCTGCTAATGCACTAAATCACATTATTTTACAAACAACTTTGATGTGGTATTCACCCCACACTAGCCTAGGAAGGGTTAATGAGGCTGAGAAGGGGCCAGTTAAGTGTATAGATCACAACTGGGAAATTAGGTGGCCTAAGTAACCCTGGATTGCTGATGGAGCCCAGCAGAGAAGGAACAGATGAGCTTAGTATAAAGCCAAGAAGATGGCAGCAGAAAAGGGCTGCAGTGAGGGAGTCTATAGCCATTCTCTGGACATAGGTGAGGGAAGGAAGGAAATCTAGGGGGAGAATAGGAACCCTGAGTATCCAGCACATGAAGGAAGGATTACCCAGAAGGATGATGGAGCAGAAGCTTGAGAGAGGCAGAGTAGGAAAAGGCTTAGCGAAATGGCAGCAAGGTGAGACCTTGCAGATGTTGGCTGCTAATTAGAGGGTCCCTACGTTGGAACCGGGAGTAGAGGACAGGCCTGGGTTCCCCTACCAGCCACTGAGGAAGCGGCACAGTCAGGGCAATGGATTTGGAGACTGCCTGGGATGGTTTGTCCTTTGGGACTTTGATACCTTGGATGGGGGGAAACACATAGTGACCTGGCTAGAGGGCCAAGCTATGAAGAGGGAGCACCCGAGTCAGAGAGAGAGAGGGAGAGAGGTGCTGCGGGATGCATGGACAAACGACGGAATGGGGTGTCAGACCTGGAAGGAGCTAATTTCCAGAGCAGCCAGGAGAAGGCACCCTAGTAGAGAGTGTACCTCATGACATGACTTAATAGATTAGAAAACTTCCATTTACATCTGATGACTCTGCTAATAGAAAAGTTTCTTCTACTAAAATGTATTTGTTTGAACTAAAACTTCAAGGGTCAAAATTTATTTTCAAAATGTGATCTAGCATTTTAATTAAAGAATTTAAGAAAATCTTTCATTATCAGGAAATGGAGTACTTTCATTCTGTAGTAAAATATAATCATTTATTCACATTTATTGATTTACATGAGGGAAGAAATAATTATGACACTTAATTAACTGTTTTTATTTAAAAAATAAATAAAGGAAAATATACTGTTAAAGTACAAACATTTTTCATTACCCAGTGTAATTTATTTACTCACCTTACACAAACAAATTTCTAAATGTGTATGGGGTAATACACCATTTATTTTTATAGTATAAAACATGCTGAATATTGGAATACATTTTCAGTGTTAGGTTAAACTCAGAGACATTTCTTTCCTAAACAGAAAGTAATGAACTGCAAAAAAAAACAACAACCAGAAGTACATTTACCTTAAAGGCTTAATGCTGTTTAGTAAATTGATAACACTCTGAAAGGAACATTTAAAATATTAAACTTACCATGAAGATTTAATAGTTTTATATTTTAAAAAATGAGCTTTTAGTGCTTTTTTAAGGCACTATACCAAAAACATATTTCAGTGTCCATCAGTGAAAAGGATACTGTTAACATGTTTAGGTCTTTGCATTGACATCAGTGGGCATTAGATTTGTCCCTTTGGGATTAGGTGTATCAGAATTTGGCACTATGGTCTTACTTATACCCATTGAAGCCAATGTCAAAATGTTCATTGACTTCAGTGGCACAGAATTAGTCCCTATATCTATACACAGAGAACTAACTATTAAGCCTCGTTTCTGGGGTGTGATAAGGGCAAAGAGAACAGAAATGTTGTAGTTTCAGTGTGAAAGTAACTAAACCCATGCAAGACAACTTTGCATCCTGTGTTTGTTTGGATGAATTCTTCATGAAGAGGAGGAAGAGGGTATGAGACACCAGTGAGAGATCTGGTCAGTGGATTCCATGGCACACAAACTCCCATAATTAAAACTGATGTAGGAGAGTAGCAGCAGTAGCTAGTAAAGGGTAACTGCATGGGTGCTCTGAGCCTGAAGCGCGTTTTGAAGCTAAAGACTTTTTTCTGCAGCTCTACTGGGGTTATGTCTACACTATCATTTTCGTCGGCATAACTTGTGTTGCTCAGGGGTGTGAAAAAATACTCCCCCAAGTGATGTAAGTTACACCGACAGAAGAGCCAGTGTGGACAGTGCTATGTCAGCGGGAGAGTGTTTCCCGCTGACATAGCTACCGCTGCTTGTGGGGGGTGGTTTAATTATGTTGATGGGAGAGCTCTTACCCATCAGCATAGAGCGGCTAAATGGGAGATCTTAGAGTGGTGCAGCTGCATCGGTACACCTGGTGTACTGGTAAACTCTCTAGTGTAGACATGGCCTGAGTTTTGTCATATTTTCATAAGAACGGCCATTCTGGGTCAGACCAAAGGTCCATCTAGCCCAGTATCCTGTTTTCCGACAGTGGCCAATGCCAGGTGCCCCAGAGGGAATAAACAGAACAGGTAATCATCAAGTGATCCATCCCCAGTCACCCATTCCAAGCTTCTAGCAAACAGAGACTCTAGGGACACCATTCCTGCCCATCCTGGCTAATAGCCATTGATGGACCTATCCTCCATGAAT